TTTTTTCTTTTAATTTAGCAAATGCTTGTATTTAAAGCGACTTGCATAAAAGGAGCAAATATAAGAAGCAACCACATTAGCAATGCTCCAAAACACATTTGAGCAGAAGAGTTTGAGCTAGTACAGATGTGCAAGTAGGAAACAGGAAAGAAGATTTTTTATGATTATAGAAAGTGACTTTGTATAAATAGTTATGAATTACGCATTCAAATGTTCATGGAAGAGCTGTGTTGTCAAACAATGATAAAATATCAGCCTCCTTAACACAAAACTGTGGTCTAACTAATGAAACAAGCCCCCTACAAATGATCATATTAACAGAACTATAATATATTATTAACAGAAACTGTGAGTGTCAGTATAGGTAAATTAATCACAAATCAATTTGCGATTCCAGATGTTTCAAGAACTGTATGCTCTTCTATAAAAACAATAATTATTAAGAGAAGTAAGAAATATGATTCAGTTTCTATCTTAATTTTATTTTTAGCACTTTAATTAAGATAATAAAAATTAATATCAACTATTATTAGAATTAAATATATACACATTTTATATAATTCAACAACAATTTAATATTCTGCGGTCCCCTTTGGAAGTTTGCCGAGGCCCCCTAGTGGGCCTCACCTCCTGGTTAAGAACCACTGCTTTTAAAAATCATATTTCAACCTCAAATGACAGTGTATCTCCATGTAACATAATTCTCCATAATTCCCAAGCTCCTTTGTAAGAAATGGATCTGTGGAGAGGTTCTCACCTGGTCTTAGGTGAGGGCTGCTGTCGGGTGGAATACACTTTGACGGCTCCTCTGTGTGAAAGTCTGGGGGATGAACAGGCTGACAGGTGAGGAGAGGGCTGAGGGGACAGGCCACTTGGTGCAGCCTCGGAGGGGGGAGAAGCTATAGCTATGTTTGAGGAGCGGGCTATAGGTTTACGTGGGACCCTTTTGAGCAAGCGGCTGACCCATTTCTGCTGCTCTTCTGTGGAGTTGGCCAGCAGCAGTAGCTCTTTCGCCGTGGACATGTCATAGTTCACTGGAGAAAAATTTTTACCAAACAGGTCAGTTTCAATCTAAAATACACTACATGGAGGTTCAAAAGTCCATATTTAAAATAAACAAACAAACATTTGGAGTCAGTATGGATGCATCAAATTCATAAAAAGTGGCAGTAAAGACATTTATAATATTAATAATGTTAAAAAGAATATGTAAAGTAAAATGTAAAAAAAAAATATATATATATATATAATGGTTACAAAATGAAAATGGTTTACAGAAATATTAAGCAGGCCAGCTGTTTTCAGCATTGATAATAAGCAATGACACTGAAGACTGGAGTAACGGCCTCTGAAAATTTAGCTTTGTTATTACAGATACAAAATACATTTTACAATATATTAAAATAGAGAATTATTTTAAATTGTAATGATATTTCACAATATTACTACATTTTTTTTATCAAATACATGCAGACCACAAACATTTAAATGGTAGTGTAAATAAATAAATACATAAAAATGAATAATAATAATAATAAAATTGATAGTAATTAAATTTTTTTAACAATTATAATTTTATAATTTATATATATATCTGACGATTAATTATATTATATGTTTTATGAATATGTGGCGGTAATATATTAATAAATATTATTTATATTATAATAAAATATTTAAAATAATTGAATATTTAAAAAAAAAAATTATAAATATTCTAAGGAATTTATAGCATCTATATTTTAATTCACATTTCATTTCAGTAGCAAAAATGCTAAATTCTAATGTGTATAAATTAGAATTGTTTAGTGCTTTGTGAGTGGGACCTCCTGACCTCTGCAAGGAGCTAGGACCTCTTCTTTGCGATCTATGTGGTCTTTATGGCATTTGATTCGGCAGCGCCTGCACTCCAGGGCTGGTGGGGGCTTGAAGACGTGCCACAGAGGCCTTGGACATGCTTCACAGCTAGAGGGGAAGTGGTAAAGCGTAAGCACGAACTCGTGACCTTTGTGTGGGATAAATGACGACCTTTCAGCTGCTGATAAGGGTTCCATTGCAAGCTCCTCTTTCTTGCTCTCTCCCTCATTGGCATATAATATCTACAGACAGAACAGAAGAAGAAAGCTGAAGTTTGGAAAGATTATTCTCAAAGAATGATAAAACATTTCCTGGAGGGACAAATTAAGCATGTTACCTGGAAGATGCGTGGGATTTCTCTGGGGTCTGCGCGGTACACATCTGTCTGAGTGACAGGTCTCACATGGAAGAGTTTGCTAAGAGGGGAAAAAGGCGGCAGAAAAATTAATGGGTTGGCTAATGCTGTGCAAGAGAGCAGTAAATGTTAATTAAATGTTTACAGTGCATGTAGTATGTATTATGTAATTTCATCCATTTGATTATTTAAAAAAAAATAAAAAAATAGATGCAAATAGTTTATAAAAAAAAAA